CACAAGGGAAGCAAGCACTACGCAAAGCCAGAGCTGAAAATACTGCAACAGTGGTGCCCACATTGCCCCACATGTGGTAGAACATTTTGTGCCTGTATAGGCCTTACCAGCCACCTATTGACACACCGTGGACAGCCCACTACCTGTTAGATATCAAGGTCCTCTTTGAACACGATGGATGAACATCATCCGCAGCTCACAGTACGTTAGTGTGATGGTCAGTGGGAAGGATGCCCATTACATTGGTCATTGGGAAGAATACTCCCCACACATTGGTGGTCTGTGGGAAGATGCTCTCCTTACTTTTGGAGGGCAGCAGGAAAAATGCTCTCCTTACATTGGTGGGCAGCGGAAAGAATGCTTTCCTTGCATTGGTGAGCAGCGGGAAGAATGCTTTCCTTGCGTTGGTGGGCAGCGGGAACAATGCTCTCCTTGCCTTGGTGGGGGAACAGCGGGAACAATGCTCTCCTTGCCTTGGTGGGCAGCGGGAACAATGCTCTCCTTGCCTTGGTGGGCAGTGGGAACAGTGCTCTCCTTGCCTTGGTGGGCAGCGGGAACAGTGCTCTCCTTGCCTTGGTGGGCAGCGGGAACAGTGCTCTCCTTGCCTTGGTGGGCAGCGGGAACAGTGCTCTCCTTGCCTTGGTGGGCAGCGGGAACAGTGCTCTCCTTGCCTTGGTGGGCAGCGGGAACAGTCCTCTCCTTGCCTTGGTGGGCAGCGGGAACAGTGCTCTCCTTGCCTTGGTGGGCAGCGGGAACAGTGCTGCTCTCCTTGCCTTGGTGGGCAGGGGGAACAGTGCTCTCCTTGCCTTGGTGGGCAGCGGGAACAGTGCTCTCCTTGCCTTGGTGGGCAGCGGGAACAGTGCTCTCCTTGCCTTGGTGGGCAGCGGGAACAGTGCTCTCCTTGCCTTGGTGAGCAGCGGGAAGAATGCTCTCTTTACATTGCTGTTAAGCGAGAATGCTCTCCTTACAGTTGGTGGTCCGTTGAATTCTCCCCTTACATTAGCCGTCAGTGGGAAGCCCCTCTGGATGAACCCCAGCGTTCCATAGAACCCTAGATTAAAGGCTGCTGTAAACAATCAAACCCAAGAAATAAGTACTGCTGTGTACGGTGGTTGTACTATAGATTTGCCAGTAGCAATTGATCAGATACTGGCACATAATAAAACACAAAATTTAACATCTTGCTGTTTGTGGAGCAAATCTGTTCTTGTTTCTTCCAAAATGTAAGATAAAGGTCTGTAATAGTAGTATACATGAGCTTTTTTAATAATGTACAAAACTGTGCAATGTGTACTTTCTCAAAGCAACCAGTTGTAATTTATCTTTCATTGCCCTGGCTACAGTGTACTGACATTCATTTACTGTGGGACACTATGCTTTGCTAATAATACTTTTGCTTTGGTATAAAGTGTGTCAAAGAAAGCAGGAGGAAGGAGACTGTGAGCATTTTCTTGAACCAAGAACGAAGTACCTTGATGTCAAAATGGGCAAAGCACAGGGTCAGACCATTGTGAACTACATTATCCTTTGGCTTTACGTCCCGTTCACATCAAACCCGACTTTGAAATCGTGAGGCTTACAGTGAAGTTGCACAATTTCAAAATCGGGTGACTTGCCAATTTCAGCTGCGATTTGCAAGACATCTGACACAGATGTCTATGCAAATCGCACCAAAATTAGTGCATGCACTACTTTAGAAATCGGTGTGGCTCCGACCAAGTTAATATAAACACTCTAATTGCGGACAGTAGGGTGCAACTTGGCATGCGATTTGCAAGTCGCATGGCATGCAAGTCGCACCCAATTCGCATCCAGTGTGACCGGGGTGTCCTTCTGCAGGAATCTAATGACCTGTTGCATTTTTGCTGAAATATTCCAGATTTACCAAATTATCCTTTGATGCTAGTTGTCTATAGGAGCCTGAATTATGCCATATAGAGCTCAGAAAATAAAGGGTCTAATGTACAAGACTATCAGTTTCCATTTTGGACTTCATATTATGTTTGATCTATCGCAGTGGTTTGATTTTGACATTTAGTTTGCTTTATAGTAATATCTATATAGTATCTATGCCTCAACAGTATAGTGGTATCATACACAATGAGCACGGAAATAGAGTTTGCCATTGAATGAGAATAAATGATAGATTATTTTGACAGTAAAGATGGAGAACAAAGAATGAAATAACATATTGGCAGGTGGTGTAGTTTGCAGCATACAGTGCTGACCGAAAGCATAAAGGAATAACCATTTTGTATTGGCTTTATTTTGAACTGGCAGCATTTACAGAAGCAGTTTTGTAGAATATACAGAAGCCTCACTATAGATGAAGTGAAATATTCCGATACTGAAAGTTGTAGAGCCAGAAAGCGAATGATGATGAAGACGTGAGAAGACTTAGAAGTATTTAGGACAGGATGTGGAGGGAAATGGTTTGGAACATTTGTTACTTGTATATCATGTTGAAGATTTTGTGGTCTCCAAATGCCATTTGTACCATTCATTCCTGGCTGACCTTTCTTTTAATCGGTATATACAAAGGATTTTTATATTGGCTGTTGTGGTAGTAATAGAGCTTTTCACAGCTTAGAGAAGTCTTCTGTGGGCTCCTTATGTAGGTATTACAAGCATCTATATAGCACCAGAATAACAAAATAAGATGTCAATCAAATCCTTCTAGGAATGAATGACAATAACACCCAGTGCAGTGTAAAATAAAAGTCCAAATAAATGGCTTCAAATTTCCAACACAATTGTTGTCACACTAATTTTCACCATCTGTGCTTGAAGTGCCTCCACCAAAAATGAAATTGACATTCACTTAAACATCATGATGCCATTTAAGAAGTCTATGCAGATGAAACGCATCAGAGCGGGGCTAGCGGTGTTTGTGTCTGTCAGTCAAACTGCTTTGTCTGCCTGGCAGCGTTTACGTGTGTAATGCCGGTTGTGTGGTTATCTGGTTGAATATTGAAGTGATTGAATGTGGGGCCGAAAGGATAGTTCAGAGTCCAGAATTACACCTAACACCTTGACATGCGGGGACGGGTTGATCGTTGTGTCATTGATCTTGACAGAGTAGTGAGGAGAAGGGGCACGTGGGGGAGGAAATATTATGAGCTCGGTTTTGGATAGGTTGAGTTTGAGGAAGTGATGTGACATCCAGACTAATAAGTCGGTCAGTAAATTAATGAAGTGTGAGGAGACTGATGTTGTAAGCTGTGGGGTAGAGAGATAGATTTGGGTGATGTCACTGTAGAAATGATATTGAAAATCAGCTGACCCAGGGAGGGGGTATTGGAGAATTTTTGTGTTTTATAGAGCATTTTTAGCAAAGGCTAGGACAGTGGTCGGCAAGCCGCGGCTCGCGAGCCACATGCGGCTCTTTACACATTTTAATGCGGCTCTTCTGTGTGCCGGGCGCTCGCTCCCCTCCCCTCCCTCCTCTCCCTCCTCTCGGGCGGCCGCTCCCCTCCCCTCCCTCCTCTCGGGTGGCCGAGGACTCTGCAGCTAGCCCAGCAATGATTGGCCAGTCTCGCTGCCACTCACATCCTGATAGCTAGTGATTGGCTGTCAGGATGTGTGTAGGCGGGGCAGCGTGACAAACGTGAGGGGAGCTAGGCTCCTCTCCTAGTCCGCCCTGAAGATCGGAACGGCGCGGGGAGCACGGCGAGAGGAGTGCGCGGAGCAAAGGTAAGTGAATTGACACAGGAGGGACTTGACTTACTACTTGCTACTTACTTACTACTACTATATGAGGGATGAATTAATATGGGGGATGAATTACTATGGGGGATGAATTACTATATGGGGGATGAATTACTATATGGGGGATGCATTACTATGGGGGATGAATTACTATATGGGGGATGTATTACTATGGGGGATGAATTACTATATGGGGGAGGAATTACTATGGGGGATGAATTACTATGGGGGATGAATTACTATATGGGGGATGAATTACTATGGGGGATGAATTACTATATGGGGGATGAATTACTATATGGGGGATGAATTACTATATGGGGGATGAATTACTATATGGGGGATGAATTACTATGGGGGATGAATTACTATGGGGGATGAATTAATATATGGGGGATGAATTACTATGGGGGATGAATTACTATAGGGGGGATGAATTACTATATGGGGGATGAATTACTGTGGGGGATGAATTACTATATGGGGGATGAATTACTATAAAAACTTATTGAAACTAAAAACAGTGTACCATCCTATGTATTTTCAGTTTTAAAAATGTGGCTCTCAAAATAAATTTCAATCGTGGTTTTGGCGAGATTTGGCTCAGTTGAAAAAAAAGGTTGCCCACCACTGGGCTAGGATATATAGAAATCTATTTAGCACCACTTTACACACTGTACATAAATATCAGTCCCTGCCCCAAAGGAGCTTACAATCTAAGGCCCATACTAGGGCCAATTTAGACAGTACCCAACTAACCTACCAGCATGACTTTGGAGAGTGGGAGGAAATCGGAGTACTCGGAGGAAACCCAGGCAAGCACATGCAAGCTCCATACAGATAGTGTTCTGGCTGCGATTGAAACTGCTAACCACTAAGCTACCATGTAGAATACCTGTGCTGTTACAGCGGTTTATTTCAGCTTTGTTCCGTATAGTCTTTATACCATTTGATCCAGAGAGTCTCTTCTTTCCCCATGGTCACTCCTTTCCTATCACCCTCTTAGGTCCCTGGTGCCTACCATCCCAATTCTCATGCAGATTCCTAATTCTTTTCATGAACCCAAATTGAGACTGGACCCCGCTCTTTCCTTGTACCAGTCTTCTAAAAATGAATGGGCTGAATTTGCACTGCATGTGAATCGCACAGGAACACTCAGCAAGTTCCTGTGTGATTGGGCCCTAAGGGTTAGGTTCTTAGATGCTCATGAATTGTTATTTTTCTTATTAGCCACACCTGCTTTTTTAGAGGTTGAGTTTATTCTAATAATTTTGTTTTCCTTTTTCCCACAGCGCAATTTGTTAGAAGAGGACTCTGATGAGGAAGAAGATTTTTTTCTGTAAGTCAGTGGTGAATTCATAGTCACTTTCTAGTTGCATGGATGACTAAATTATTGTTTGTTAGCAAAGAATTCGAAGCCTAACTAAAGCCTAACTGTACATTTAAAGTGGATGTAAACCCTTATATCCAGTGAAGTCAGTGGCCTCAGATTATACACAGATTTAAAACAAATCTTCCTATATAAGTTGTACCTGTTTATCTGCAGTATTCTCTTCTTTACAGCTCTTAAAAGTCCAGAATTTATAAAGCTTGTCTGAGAGCTCAGAAAAAATGGGGGTGGAGACCTGAAGTTGCATGCTGCAGAGCTCAGTGAGGAGAGCTCTGAGAGCTGAGTGGAGGGAAGAGCCACACCCCCATTCACACAGTTTTGTTTATTTGTTTTTTCTCTTGGTGTCAGGAAAACTTGTCAAAAGTGGTTCATGCTGATAACAGAGGAACAAAGCAGCAGACAAAAAATGACACTTGGAGACAAGCAAACACTATAATAACATGCTTTGTTCATATTAAAGAGTTTGTGCCAAGGAGGCCCAAAAAAACTATTTAGTGCACTAACAGGTGCGCTGTGGTAACTGTATGTAACCTCAGCTACATACAGTATACAGAGCTGTGTTTCTGGAGTGGAATGAGAACTTCCTGTCTTACTGCCGAAACAAAATAGTCGAGCTGAGGCTTGCTTAGCTATAGACGCACACAGCCCACCTTGGGACCGTACCCACACTTCTACCCCAATAGCAAGTGCTTGCTATGAGGGCAGACACAGAAGAAGAAGATAATTGTATCATTGAAACCTTTCCCTTAAAATGAAAAGTGAACAATGGAAGCTTGCATATTTCATTCCTTAAAGGTTACCTTTATACTATACATGCGACTGTCACTGCTGCACCCCAGATCACTGTCTTTGCAGTGTAAGGGGGAGCAGTAAAAATGTGTTTTATAAGTGCATTGTAAGGCCTCCCAAAAAGTGTAAACAAGCTCATGGCCGTTAGTAAGTATGCAATGGAAGAATGATGTGTGCTTCGTGCTGTTCATTTATTTTTTTAGAAATACATTGAAATGTTACAAGTGACATTTCATTCAGTTTTTTTTTTTTGGCCACAGCACTGTGAATGCAGTCACCTTATTTCAAGACTGATACGCTGTGATATATATTTTATTTTTGATGTTGGAAAACCTTAAATGATTATACATTGATAATCTACACAGAGATCACAGCACCTATATGACCAGTATGGTTATATTCTGAAGTGTTAGATTTTGGGTATGTGATGACATATTCAGTCATATGTAGTGTTGGTTGTATGTAGTTTGAGAACTGCAACTTTATACTGGTCCTCTGCATATAAACAGCTGCTACCCCCAAAGCAAAGTGGATACAGTCTGATAGTATTTAATTGGTCTTCCTTTATAATGGACTTACTGGGCATTGTTGGTCCATCCATGCTTGCACATGTACCTGTAGTGTATATTCTTCTAGCAAACATTGCTGTCATGTTTACCTGTAATCACAATATTCAACCCTAGCTGCGTTTTTTTCCTTGACATCACATCATGTGATTTTGCTTTTTTTAGGCTTACTGATTACCGTATTTTTCGCTCCATAAGACGCGCCTAGGTTTTAGAGGAGAAAAACAAGAAAAAAAAATTCTGAACCTGAATTCTGAAATTCTGACTGCAGACATAGTACAGGAGATGACCAGAGACTGCGGACACAGTACAGGAGATGACCAGAGACTGCGGACACAGTACAGGAGATGACCAGAGACTGCGGACACAGTACAGGAGATGACCAGAGACTGCGGACACAGTACAGGGGATGACCAGAGACTGCGGACACAGTACAGGGGATGACCAGAGACTGCGGACACAGTACAGGGGATGACCAGAGACTGCGGACACAGTACAGGGGATGACCAGAGACTGCGGACACAGTACAGGGATGACCAGAGACTGCGGACACAGTACAGGGGATGACCAGAGACTGCGGACACAGTACAGGGGATGACCAGAGACTGCGGACACAGTACAGGGGATGACCAGAGACTGCGGACACAGTACAGGGGATGACCAGAGACTGCGGACACAGTACAGGGGATGACCAGAGACTGCGGACACAGTACAGGGGATGACCAGAGAGACTGCGGACACAGTACAGGGGATGACCAGAGACTGCGGACACAGTACAGGAGATGACCAGAGACTGCGGACACAGTACAGGAGATGACCAGAGACTGCGGACACAGTACAGGAGATGACCAGAGACTGCGGACACAGTACAGGAGATGACCAGAGACTGCGGACACCAGGGATGCGGGCACAGTACAGGAGATGACCAGAGACTGCGGACACAGTACAGGGGATGACCAGAGACAGCAGGCAGTACAGGGGATGACCAGAGACAGCAGGCAGTACAGGGGATGACCAAGAGACTGCAGGCAGTACAGGGGATGACCAAGAGACTGCAGACAGTACAGGGGATGACCAAGAGACTGCAGACAGTACAGGGGATGACCAAGAGACTGCAGACAGTACAGGGGATGACCAAGAGACTGCAGACAGTACAGGGGATGACCAAGAGACTGCAGACAGTACAGGGGATGCAAGACAGACAGTACAGGGGATGAGCAAGAGACTGCAGACAGTACAGGAGATGACCAAGAGACTGCAGACAGTACAGGGGATGAGCAAGAGACTGCAGGCAGTACAGGAGATGACCAAGAGACTGCAGGCAGTACAGGAGATGACCAAGAGACTGCAGGCAGTACAGGAGATGACCAAGAGACTGCAGACAGGGTGACAGAGACTGCAGGCAGTACAGGGATGACCAAGAGACTGCAGGCAGTACAGGGGATGACCAAGAGACTGCAGGCAGTACAGGAGATGACCAAGAGACTGCAGGCAGTACAGGGGATGACCAAGAGACTGCAGGCAGTACAGGGGATGACCAAGAGACTGCAGGCAGTACAGGGGATGACCAAGAGACTGCAGGCAGTACAGGGGATGACCAAGAGACTGCAGGCAGTACAGGGGATGACCAAGAGACTGCAGGCAGTACAGGGGATGACCAAGAGACTGCAGACAGTACAGGAGATGACCATAGACTGTGGACCTTTGGGGAGGGAGCTGGAGCGGGTACTCCCACTTCCACGGAGTTGTCCTGCCTTTAGTGTGGGCACTTGGCTGTGACAGCCGGGTGTCCACTGCGCATGCGCGAGAAGTGCTGTGCTTTGTGAATGGCCCGGTGTCTTCCGGGACACATGACAGGTCCCAGAAGATGCCAGACCATTCACAAAAGCGCAGCACTTCTCGCGCATGTGCAGTGGGCACCCGGCTGTCACAGCCGGGTGCCCACACTAAAGATGCTGGCGCAGGAAGGCTGTACAGCGCTGGAACGAGGAACAGGTAAGGTCCTGCTGCAGAGAAGAGCTGAGCGGCTGGCCTGGTATTCTGACACAGTGTCGGCGGCGGAAATAGCAGACCGGCCACTCCATATTCGCTCCATAAGACACACTAACATTTTCCCCCCTTTTTGGGGGGAAAAAAGTGCGTCTTATGGAGCGAAAAATACGGTAAGTTCTGAATTGATAGTTATAGAATTCTTACTACCAGAAGTTACATTGCAAGGTATATATTGTATTTCTGGGGTACTAGAAAGAAGTTACATTAGGAAGAGAAACTTCACTCTGTCTAGCTAAAAATGTCTAATATCAGTGAGCTACCACTGCGCTCCACAGTGTTGAACTACAAGCCGACAGCCGCTAAGGCTGTTAGGATTTGTAATTCATTTATTCACAGAACTCTGTGAATGAATGACTTGGCGATGTGGGCTGTTCACTTATTTAAAATGTGACAGCTAGTACGGCTGTCACAGGGCGGGGGGGGATTGGGTGACAGCTGCAGCAATGGGAACATGTTACATGTTCCACCCTAAAATCTGGTGGAACATGTAACATGTTACCATAGGTGAACTTATCCTTTACGTAAAAATTAAGACTCCGATTCTACTCTGTTAAACTGTAGAGCCAAGTTGTGTTTCCATATATTCGTGGAAAAACTGAGAAATTTAGAAAAAGATCAACATCACTTTCCTGAACTCCTCATTAAGAAAATTATTTTACCATTTAAATTTTCCACTGCGTTATGCCTGTTTTTATTATTGTCACCTCATACAAATGAGGAGCTGTCACTGTGCTGCCAGTTTTTCCTTTTAGCTTGAAATTAAATTAAAACTCTAATGTTTACACATGTGGCTGTTACTGCTGTGGACTGTGGTCAGATCGGTCAGATCGCTCTTCAGAGATGTTTACCAGGTGGTAATGAGGCCATTAACTACTCCCCCCCCATCTAAACACTTAAGCTTTTCAGGGATCCAGCGCTTTACCCGACTGCAGTCTTCTCTTCCCCTTTTCCTCTTCTCACAGAGACATGAGCCATTGGCTCTTGCTGCTGTCAGTCAAATGCTGTGAAGAAGCACCAGTGGAAGGACCACGCTGTGTGTATCTATGGAACATGGCTTATAACTTCCTGTACTTTCTTCCTCTGGACTGGTCTGGTCTTATCAGTTAGTATTGTTTCCTGAATCTCCATGAACTGCAAACCTCTCCTGTTATTGAGAACAGAGAGGTATTATGTAGTCCTAACAAACTCCCTTGCTTAGAGTGACAATGCGGCTCAGTATGGTTGTCACTCTTGGATAGGAAGTATGTTAATGATAGGATTACCAGTTTAAAATAAGAAATGTATGTACAAAAGAAAACTAATGCAGCTACTACATCTAAAGACCAGTAGGCTGCAATACTTTGGGTTTTTGTGTGTAGATACACTTTAAAGAAAACCTGTACTGAGACAAATATGGCACACTTATTGATGACCTTTTTCTAAAAATGCTTGTTGCCTAATTGCCACTTTTGATTAACACTTTGCAAGTCAGATCAATTGATCAGGATGCCTATTCAGTGACCTAAATATTGAAGTTCTGTGTTGAGCACCACAGTCAGACAGCTAGCATTTTCAAAAGAATAGTTCAGCATTGGCAGCCTATGATTCCCCTGTATATGTTTTCCATACACAGCATCTGATGTGTTAACATTTTGGTTGTGGCATGCAGAAATATGTTCATTTGAACTGTTAGTTCTAGGTGCATAATTGTGTTTATAGCTTTTTATTATACTCTAGTATAGCAGGACAGCAGACAAAATTTAAATTATGGTCGCTCTGGATAAACGGCAAATACAAGCATTTCTTTTTTTTTTTTCAGTGTTTTTTATTTATGCAAGCACACATGGAAGAAAATGAGTACAACCTGCATAAAAATGAATACATACCTAGACAATCATGCCAACATACAGTTGTGTGCAAAAGTTTGCATACCCTGGCAGAAAGCATGAAACTTTGGCACTGATATTGAAAATATGACTGTTCATGTCAAAAACGGTCTTTCGTTTAACCACTTGCCTACAGGGCACTTATAACCCCTTCTTGCCAAGACCAATTTTCAGCTTTCAGTGCTCTCACACAATTACTCAGTCATGCAACACTGTACCCATATAGAATTTTGTCCTTTTTTTTTTCACACAAATTAGGGCTTTTTTTTTTCAGCACTGTGTTTTTAATTTTTTGTGCTATAAATGAAAAAAGACCAAAGCATTTTTCTTAGATTCTGTTGCAAAATTTTGCAAATAAGTAATTTTCCTTCATAAATTTTGGCCAAAATTTATACTGCTACATTGCTTTGGTAAAAATAACCAAATCAGTGTGTATTATTTGGTCTGCGTGAAAGGCATAGAGTCTACAAGCTATGGCACCAATCATTGAAAATTGAGCACACCTGATGTACTGATGACCTATCTCATTTCTTGAGACACTTATGCAGGCCATACATGGGTCGAATTCACAAAATCTTTCCTTCGAAAATTGTGACTAATGCAGGCCATAGATGGGTCGAAAATCGGCCGATTTTTTGGCCGAAAATAAAATCGGCCGATTTTCGGATCATTAGTGGGCTATTTGTTCGGCCGTTTTTTGGTATTTTGGCAGATTTTTTTTATCGGTAAACTTGGAAAAAAATCGGCCGATTTTGCCGATCGGCCGATTTTTGCGGCAATAATGGGCAAATCGGCCGATTTTTTACCGATAAAAATCTGCGCATGAGCAGTGACCTTCAAGAGGAAGACAAAAAGAAGAAGAGGATGAAGAAGAAGAAGAGGATGATGATGAAGAAGAAGAGATGTTGATGAAGAAGAGGTGATGATGATGAGAAGAAGAAGAGGATGATGATGAAGAGGATGATGATGATGAAGAAGAGGATGATGATGATGATGAAGAAGAGGATGATGATGAAGAAGAGGATGATGATGATGAAGAAGATGATGAGGATGATGAAGAAGAAGATGATGATGGATGATGATGATGAAGAAGAAGAGGATGATGATGATGATGAAGAAAGAAGAGGATGATGATGAAGAAGAAGAGGATGATGATGATGATGAGGATGATGATGAAGAAGAAGAGGATGATGATGAAGAAGAGGAGGAGGATGAAGAAGAAGACGATGATGATGATGAAGAAAAGGATGATGATGAAGAAGTAGAAGAAGAAGAGGATGAAGAAAAAGAAGAGGATGATGAAGAAGAGGAGGAGGATGATGAAGAAGAAAAAGAAGAGGATGATGATGATGAAGTAGAAGAAGAAGAAGAGGATGATGATGAAGAAGAGGATGATGATGAAGTAGAAGAAGAAGAGGATGATGATGAAGAAAAAGAAGAAGAGGATGATGAAGAAGAGGATGATGATGAAGAAGAAGAAGAATGAAAAATAAGAGGAATTCCAGCCCGGCAAAAAGTGTCCCTGCAGAGAGCTCCGCTATTTCTTTGACAGTTCCTTGACATTTACAGAGGTTGCAACATTGTTTCCGAATAAAAACATCTGTATCCTAAATGGATACAAATAGATACATTGTTGCAACCTCTGTAAATGTCAAGGAACTGTCAAAGAACTGTCAAAGAAATAGCAGAGCTCTCTGCAGGGACACTTTTTGCCGGCTGTAGACGGGATGAAAATCGGCCGATTTTTTTTTTTTACCATTGCTGGTAACGTTGGCCGCTTGAACAACCGATTTTTCGTTTTTTAAAAGAAAAATCGGCTGTTTTTCTCCCCGTCTATGGCCTGCATAAGAATTTTCGTTGTAATTTTGCACTATTAGTGGGCCGTAGCATTGGCTGATTTTTGTGCGGTCATCGAATTTGAGTGATCTGGTATTTTGGAAATTTTTTAAAAAACAAGGGTATTTCTTATCAAAATGATGGTAGCATCGTGCAAGAAATATAGTCGAAAAAGAAATGAGCATGAGCTGTGACCTGGAAAGAAAACAAGATTTCCCTCCATGAAAATTATTTTCTGTAGGGAATATGGGGATACCACATGTGTGAGACTTTTTCACAGCCTAGTCACATAGAGGGGTCCAACATGCAAGGAGCACCATCACATGTTCTAGGGGCATTAATTACACATTTAATTTCCTGACTACTTATTACATTTTGGAAGGTCCTGGAGCACCAGGACAATAGAATTATCCACAAAATGACCTCATTTTGAGAAGCAAACTCCCCAATGTATATTCTATGAGGCTTAATGAGTCTTTTTTAACGTGTAATTTTTTTCCACAAGTTTTCAGAAAATGTGGAAAGTGCATGAAAACACTTCAACCCCCTCCTCCCAAAGTTGTCCATTTATAAGATTTTTTTAACACATAACATGTACATACCAAGAATTACAACACAAAATACATTCTTCTACTCCTCCTGAGTATGGCGATACCACATATGAAACTTTTACAAAGCCTGGCCACATACAGAGGGCCCAGAATCCAAGTTGGGAGCATGAAATTGTCCAAAATGTCTTGGTATGCTGACGCCTTAAGAGTTCCCTTCACTGAACTAAGGGGCCAATCCCAACCCCTGAAAAACAACCCCATACCATAATCCCCCCTCCACCAAACTTTACACTTGGCACAATGCAGTCAGGCAAGTACCGTTCGCCGGGAAACTGCCAAACCCAGACATGTCCATTGGATTTCCAGACAGAGAAGCGTGGTTCATCACTCCAGAGAACACGTCTCCAGTGCTCTAGAGTCCAGTGGTGACGTGCTATACACCACTGCATCCGACATTTTGCATTGCACTTGGTGATGTAAGGCTTGGATGCAGCTGAAGTTCCATGAAGTTCTCTACGCACTGTTGTGCTAATTTGAAGGCCACACAAAGTTTGGAGGTCTTTAGCTATTGACTCTGCAGACAGTCGATGACTTCTGCGCACTGTGCGCTTCAGCATGCGCTGACCCACGCTCTGTTAGTTTACGTGGCCTACCACTTCATGGCTGAGTTGTTTCCAACTTGTTCCCAGTTGCTTCCACTTTGTTATAATACCACTGACAGTTGACCATGGAATATTTAGTAGCAAGGAAATGCCACAGATAAACTTATTGCACAGGTGACAACCTATCACGGTACCACACTTGAATTCACTGAGCTCCTGAGAGCGACCCATTCTTTCACAAATATTTGTAGAAGCAGTCTGCATGCCTAGGGGCTTAATTTTATACAAAAAAAGAAAAGAAAGTTCCCAGCTCAACTTTCCAGCCAGCTTGCCAACAACCAAATTAACCTGTCTAACAGTATGTATTAAAAACAGGGGTTTAGTTAGCACACATTTGCAAATACATATGTAAGCCATAGAGCCATGTTACGGCACCCTGAAATTCTGTGGTCCTAACTAAAATTTTGAGAGCCCCCATAGTAGAGGCACATGTATTTAATGGATAGACCAAGGGCAGGTGAACCTGAGGGAGCCCAAAAACTCCCTGCGTTTCCAGGTGCCATTTAAATGAATGCCACCTGAAAATTCAATCAGGCTTTTTCACACATTTACATTGTGCTTTTAAATCGCAGGCAGAATCGGGGCAATTCCATCCTCAATTTGGAAAAAACTAGTATGAATGGAGCCTAAGTGCCTGGTCATACCGGGTGCGACTTGCCATATGATTTGCTATGCAAGTTTCAAATCGCATGGCAAGTCTCACCCTATTGTCCTCAGTTGAAGTGGTCATATCTGTGCGATTCTGACTTGGCCAGAGTCGCACCAATTTTGAAAGTAGTGCATGCACTACTTCAGGTGCGACTTGCATAGACATCTGTGTCACACCTGAAGTTGGAATGACATCTGACTTTGAAATCCTGCAACTTCACTGGAACATTTTCCCCATCTCACTTGTTTGTTTTTATATGTTAAAGTGAGAATAATAAACAACTCAAAATTTACAAATAAACATTTCTGACATTTAAAAAAAAAAATCAGTGACCAATATATCCACCATTTTTTCAGTAACAGTGATAAGCCTTCCATTCATGCAGTCTGTCAGTTTGTTGATCTGTTGGCAATCAACTTTTTGAGCAGCAGCAACCACACCCTTCCAGACACTCTTCAGAGAGGTGTAGTGTTTTCCTTCACCGTAAAATCTCCCATTTAAGAGGGGTCCACAAGTTCTCAATAGGATTTAGGTCAGGTGAGGAATGGGGCCATGTCATTATTCTTTCATCTTTAAGGCCTTTACTGGCTAGCCACACAGTGGAGTAGTTTTGATGCATGCAATGGAGCATTGTCCTGCATAAATATGGGCTTCTTGAAAGATGCAGACTTTTTCCTGTACCACTGCTTGAAGAAAGTGTCTTCTAAAAACTGTCAGTAGGTTTGGGAGTTGCTTTTGAGTCCATCTTCATCCCCAAAACGTCCAACTAGCTCATCTTTAATAATACCAGCCCCATAACAGTACCCCACCCCCATCTTGCTGGCGTCTGAGTTGAAGTGAAGCTCTGTGCCCTTTGCAGATCCAGCCACGGGCCCATCCATCTGGTCCATCAAGAGTCACTCTCGTCTCATCAGTCCGTAAAACCTTTGAAAAATCTGTCTTCAGATATTTCTTGTCTCAATCTTGACTTGTGTGTCCTGTTCAGTGGTGGTCGGGTTTCAGCCTTTCATACCTTGGTCATGTCTCTGAGCACTGAACACCGTGTACTTCTGGGCACTCCAGGTAGGTTGCAGTTCTGGAATATGACAGCACTGGAGGATGTTCCTGGTAGCTTCATGTTTGATTCTTCTCAATCTTTGGCAGTTAATTTGCATCTTTTTTTTTCTCAACACGTTTCTTGCGACCTTGTTGACTATTTTCGACAAAATGTTTAATGGTTCTGTGATCACACCCCAATACCTTAGCAATTTCAACAGTGCTGCATTCCTCTGAAAGATATTTTACAATTTTTTACTTTTCAGAGTCAGTTAAATCTCTTTTTTTGGCCCATTTTGCCTGAGGAAAAAAAGCTGCACACCTTGATATAGGGTTTTGATCTCTTAGGCCACACCCTCCCTCATTACACAAATACACATCAAGTGATATGCTTAAATCCAATAAGCATTCAAGTTTATACAGCTTGGAGTTGAACAATATGGATATAAATGATGGTCTGGTCAGAATACTCACTTGCCTAATAATTGTGCACACAGTCTAGTCAATGAGTTTAATAGCTCTTGTGCAGAAAAAGAACTGTCAAAAGACTTGCGTAACAAGGTAATGGACCTTTATAAAAATGGAAAAGGATATCCAAAACCTTGACTATGTCTTTCAGTACTGTTCAGTCACTTATTAAGTGGAAAGTTCAGGGATCTCTTGATACCAAGCCAAGGTCAGGTAGACCAAGAAAGATTGCAGCCACAACTGCCAGAAGAATTGTTTGGTATACAAGGAAAAACCCACATGTAACCTCAGGAGAAATACAGGTTCTTTGGAAAAAGACGGCGTGGTTGTTTCAAGGAGCACAATACGACAATACTTGGACAAAAACGAGCTGCATGGTTGAGTTGCCAAAAGAAGCCTTTACTGAGCCAATGCCACAGAAAAGCCTGGTTACAATATGCACGACAACACCTTGACATGCCTCACTGGGCTTTTTTTTTTGGCATTAGCCTACGCAGTACATCCATGTGAGAGCTAACAAACTCATTAACTATGTATAAACAAACACTAATTGCAATTTAAAACTGCTGCAGATGTGGGAAATTAATATTTAACCTCCCTGGCGATATTCCCGAGTGTAGCTCGGGGTAAAGTTTCAGTACCACAAGAGGCAACCCCCGAGCTACACACTCGGTCTTGCCATGCAGCGCTGCTCCGCAATCTCTCGATCACTTACCTTGTCCTGCGCTCCTGCGATGTCCCTCCTGCAGTTTCCCCAGTAATGTAATCCGACGGATGCCGGTATCTGTCATCTGGGTTCCGTCCCCTGCGAGCGTCGGGATGTACGGGGACGGAACGGCGGGAAATTTGAAAATGACAAAAAGTGACATTCACTAAAGTCACATAGTAAAACATTACTGTATCAAAGCATTTCACATACATGTTGTCCCGAGTGCTTTGTCCTGTGCCCTGCTGCATTTTTACTGTTCTTTCTGCCTGGAAACTGAGAAACATCCATGGCGTCCAAAAAACGTCCCTGTATGTCAAAAGCGGTTTTAGACCAGCTAGAGAACAGCGATAGTAAATTAGAACCTCTTGCAGAATTGAGTGATGATTCGTGGGGAAATTCGTCATCAGACACTGAAAATGAATTTGCGACTTTGCTCAGTGATGTGCGAACTTGGCGCTATATTTCAAATTTCAGTGTTTTTGGTTTGCTTATCTTATTGAATTAAATGTATTATTATATTATTATTTTTTATGATTATTTATTAAATTATAATTTATGATTTCATGTTTCAAATTTTATCATACCCGGGATGTTTACTAGACTTCGGACAGATTTCAGTGAGTTATTCCTAAAAATTACAGGCCTACAATAAAAAAAATACATATTTCCATGCAAAACAATGTACCGCTTTGAGCACAGAAATATGGACATATTCAGACCACTAGGGAGGTTAATTGCCATTTTAACCTGTGTGTGTCACCTTGTGTTTCTGTACCACGGCCAAACATTCTAGAGTATGTTAACTTTTGACCAGAGCCATTTGGGTGATTTCCATTATCTTATGATTTAAAAAGGAGCCAAACAACTATCGGATAATAAATGACTTAATATGATCACTATCCTTAAATAAAAGACTTTTTTTGGCACGATCAGTTATCAATATCAATGCCAAAACTTCACCATTTCTGCCAGGGTGTGCAAACTTTTGAGCACAACTGTATTTAGGCTAGTAATATTTGCTAGCAAACATACTTTCATTAAATTGTACAACTAGAGGGAGATCTACAACTTGCTGTGAAGTAAGCCAATAGGGTAATATGAAACTAATTAGTCAGGTGGAGGCAAAAGTGGAAGTAGGGATAATTGAAGCATAACAAATCCACGCATTGGAACCGCATGAATGTACACTCCGAGATGCATGTGGAGATCAATGCAGATCTGTGCAGCAAGCCACCCGTCACTTATTTCAACAGGCTGTCTGCACAAAACAACTGTGCATCCCGCATGGATAAAGACATCCCCTTCGCATGGGAGTACAGTTTGGTATGTTTGTGTGAAAGAGGCCTAAACTTCATGAGTAGACAAGTTCAGTCCAAGATTTAGGATCTTTTAAAATATAGGGCTTGTTGCCACTTGCTGTGTTTTTACCACCCTCCAGAACTGCAAAGGTCAGGCATACAGGGCTGCACCGCATATGCCCCAGAAATTACATGCAATCCACATTTTTGCATTGTGCTGGTGCAGGATTTACAGGGTAAAACTGTCAATATGTCCCTTTCTCACTGTGTGTCACACACCTCTGAAACCACATCTGCTGCTGGTGTAATCCTAGCCTTAAAGTGGACCTTTTCTCCCAACAGTCAAAAACAGTGGTGCATGCTCATATCAAATAAATTTTGAGTTTGACTAATACATGTAATTAGATTGAACTTCATGGTCTGTAAAGGCACTGGTGATGTAGTCCTGGCTTCACAGCTGCCCCCTGGGAAAGCTACATTGCCAATGCCATGAAATCTGGTGAGGTCTTGGAAAAAAAAGCCCATTCATTATTCCACACAGATCTGATGCTGGTATCATAGGTGGGCTGGCAACAAAAGCTGCGCATTCGCAGTGTGGTCTTTCCAGTGGCTCAGTTATGCTGAGATAGGGAAAGAGACTGCACTGCATTTGAAAAAAAAAGCACACTACGGAGACAATGGAAATAAGTGCCCGATATCTGCAGTGTCAGTTTTTTGCCATCTGTGTCTCATTGGGGAGATTTTCTTTCATTTCTCGTCCTCATAGCCAAAGCAGGAAGTGAGAGGAAATCTCTCCAAAGTGAGAAAAATCCTTTGTTGTCACCAGAATTTGGAAGATGTCCTCTCTATTACTGTTCCTGGAGACAACCGAAATTTGGGATTTTCTCTCACTTTCACTTGGTATTTATGGTAATCAAGACAAATAGAGAGGGTGGATCTCCCTAATTGGGGCACAAAGAGTAATAAAAAATGGGTTCTAATCTCTATCCACTCTGTCCTAAACTAGAAAGAAAACGTTGTGGCTGCAGCTGCACTTTAAGTAAGACAATACATCGTCGACATTAAGCCCTGTTTCACACTGAATGCGACTTTGAAACTGTGCTACTTTCAAAGTAGCAGACCAGTGCGATTTTTACCTTCGATTTCACTGTGGCCTGCAACTTCATTTAACAGAAGTCCATGCAAGTCGCAATGAAATTGGAAAAAAGTATTGCAGAAACTATTTTTGAAATCTCACTACTTCAAATCGCACTGATTAAGACAGTTCCATAGAAATACATTAGATTAAACTTCAGGTGCGATTTGTAAATGTCGCACCTGAAGTCGCATCAATGTAAACCAGGACTAAAGGGACTTTCACCCAAAATAGGATTTATTGCTCATCCTCTTCCTCCCTCCAGACTTTATTTTTGACAGGTACCCACTCCCACTTCCTCAATTCTCGCTTAGAGAGTTCTCGCCAATAGTGGCATGTGCTTGGCTGGCCCCTAGGACATGTCCCTTGCTACTGCAGGTCAAGTGTGGTCTCATCCCGGTGCTTTATGCATGCACAAGGAGAGTAAGCTGTGACATCATGAAGTCACAGCCAGCTCTCAAATCCAAGAAGGCAATGCTGGAAAGCAGAAGCCCAGCAAGAATTGGCAGTGGGGAAAACAATGCTAAACTACATAGACTGGTAAGTATTTCTTAAAAGTCCCCAGGTGCAGTATTCATAGCTGCTGACTTTTAATTTTTTTTTTTTGCAGAGTTGAGTTCCTCTTTAACCACTTCACGACTGGCCGTTGTATATAAACGGCCGGACGGTGGCACTGCAGGGTCGGGTGGCCGTTTATAAATGTCCTCCCCGCACCCTGTTTATAAACGGCCTCCCAGGGAGTGCGCAGCACCGCGATCCGGTGCCCGCTGTGTCCTCCGGACACAGTGAAACACCGATCGTCGGACGGGACCTCTGTATGAGGTCCCGATCATGTGATCACTGATTGTCCAATCAGTGATCACATTCAAAGTAGTAAGCAAGATGTCACTGTGACATCATTGCTTACTATGTGTGAAATCTGTGAATAATCACAGAGGTCACATGGTACAAGGCTATTCACAACAGCCTTGTACCATGTGACAAGCTGTGACCAATCCCAGCTCACTCAGTAGTTCTCATTGGCTGCAAGAATGCAGACAGAGAGAAAGAGAAATGATTGCTTTTACATCCTATATGGGTGTAAAAGCAATCCGTGTAAAAAAAAAAAAAAATCATGCCCCAAAAGTAGTACAGTGTCACCATGGTGACACTGTACTGCTAAGGTGACAGTATGTAAAGAAAAAAAAAATATATATATAAAATAAAAAAAATGTAAAATAAAATGTTTTGGTTATAAACTAATTTGGCTTTTCTTTTAATAAAAAGATAACAGAATAAATTTTGGCCAAGATTTATGATGAAATATTATTTATTTGCAAAATGTTATAAGAAAAACACTTTTTTTCCAAATTTTTGGACATTTTCATTAACATAGCAAAAAAAATAAAAATCCCAACGGTGAATAAAAACCACCAAAATAAAGTTTTTCTCTATCTCAAAAAAAATGGTAAAAAAATTCATATGGGTACAGTGTTGCATGACCGCGCAATTGTCATTCAAAGTGTGATAGCGCTGAAAACTGAAAATTGCCCTTGTCAGGAAGGGGGTAAAAGTGTCCGGACTAGAAGTGGTTAAAGCTGGGCATAGTTTTTTTTTTTTTTTTGATCAGCCAGTAGGGTCACTGAAATAAAAAAAAGAAGTGGTTGTAAAGGCTAAAGGTTTTTTACCCTAAAGTATTTCTAAAGCTCATTTATTTTTTCTTATATAACAAACATGGTATACTTACCTGCTCTGTGCAATGGTTTTTGTGTAGAGTAGCCCTGAACCTCCTTTTCTTATGCGCCCCGCTAGTGCTTCTGACTCCTCTCCCTTCTGAGTACCCCCTATAGCAAGCCGCTTGCATTGGGGGCACTCATGGAGGCTTAATCCCAAGTTGCGCTCTGTGTGTACATTGACACACAGAGCGTGGGCATAGCCCCGCCCCCCCCTGCTCTCTCCTCACAGGCTGTGATTGACAGCAACAGAGCTAATGGCTCCCTCTGCAGTCTCCATGGCCAATGAGGAGAGGGAGATAGCTGCTGCTCCTGGGAAAAGCAATGGATCGAGATTGGACTTGGATAAGTATTTTAGGGGGTGCTGTGAGGGAGTAAATTTCAGGTTTTTTTTACCTTAATGCAGAGAATGCATTAAGTTAAAAAAATAATAGTCTGCTTTTTAGCCTTGGTTCACATTAGTGTGTTTTTTTGCAGGCTGCAGCACAGTAGCCCATTCATTGAAATGGGTTGCTGTGCCTGCAGAATGCTGGGAATAGGTCCCTGCACCTTTCCAGAAACCTGCACTGGGAACCGCACTACAGTCCGGTTCCAATTTCCAGTGCAGGCGGCTTGACATTAAGATGGCCCAAGGCCCCTCGTTTTGTGTGCAGGTGGTTGCAGCTGCGGGATGAAGTGCAGGTCCCGCAGCTGCTTCTACTTGCACTAGTGTGAACAGAGCCTTAGAACCACTTTACTGCATTCTCTGCATTAAGGTAACAAAACCTTTCATGTTCAGCTTTCCTCCAACACCCCCCTAACAAGAGTGCAGTCTCAATCCAGCGATCTGCACTTTCTCTCTTCTTACAGGACTCAGAAACAGCAGCGGGAGCCATTGGCTCCCGCTGCTGTCAGTCAAATCCTATGAGGAGGGAGTGGGAGAAGAGTAGCCATCGAGAGCGGCGGCGAGGGACCCCAGAAGAGTGAGATCTGGGCTGCTTTGTGCAAAAGCATTGCACACAGCAGGTAAGTATCATGTTTGTTATTGAAAAAGAAAAAAAAAAACAAAAACCTTTTCAAACATTTCAACAGATTCCTCAGGGACATTGTATTCTGCGAGCTGCTTCCTTGGCAGCCGGCCCCCTGATCAACAAAACATTTCCAGCGTGTCTGTTCAACAGAAGTCACTCTAACTATCAACTTTCTGTTGAACCGAGATGGTCACACTAGATCAAAATTCGGCTGGTCCCTGGAAGAGGCCGAGTTATGATCCATCTATGTCAGGCTTATTTAAAACCATCTAATTCTATCCAGGAAGCTACTAAATCAGAAGGTCCAATACTTTCCTTTAATTCAGTGATTCTCAACCTTCCTAATGCCGCGACACTTTAATACAGTTCCTCATGTTGTGGTGACCCCCAACCATAAAATTATTTACCTAGTAATTATAATTCATGAGTGTCGTTTTACCTCCAATACTGCTGCTTTCAACACAGTAGCTGCTTTCTACACAGTAGCTGCTTTCTTCACACTAGCTGCTTTCCACACAGTAGCTGCTCTTTACACATCGGAAATATGTGTTTTCCCGATGGTCTTAGGCGACCCCTGTGAAAGGGTCGTTCGACCCCCAAAGGGGTCACGACCCACAGGTTGAGAACCACTGCTTTAATTAGTTGTTATTGTTGTGACAGAAACAGCAAGAAATATCTGATGAAGGGTTCAGTCCTTCCCTACCAATGTATTATTGCTGGAATTGGGCTTTAAGGTGTAGCTGTACTTTTATGTTAAATTCCAACAACGCCTTCTCTCAGTACCCATCGGGTATAAGACCTATCCCTTCATTTCTGTCTCGCCAAGTGCTGTGCAGAGGTTCCTCACTTTGTTTGGGATCACAGTACTATCTGGTGCTTTGCAGGACATGGCAATGCCACCCAACCTGGATCTAAAGACTGTGTCACTATGTACTTTATTATGGCGTGGGGGAGCATAACTGACCAAACTAGTTTGTATTATGAGTGTAAGCTGCTTTGTGTTCTCTATAAAGTACTTCCCAATATCTTAGTGATAAAGGACAAAAAAAATGCAAAAATACAGATTATTATTATGATTATTATTATTATTCTGTGTTTGTGTGCTGTTTCCCCGCACTGCAGTGCATTTGCTTGGTTGTTGGGATGTGCAGTCACATGATATGTCACTGACTCAATATTCTTTCTTGCCAGGAGGGGACCTTCTGCACCTAAGTTTGGACCAAGGAATGACAAGATCAGACAGTAAGTCTGCCGGTGACAGCTGGAAATTGAAGTGTACAAGTCCCAGTGCTACTGAGTTATATTTAACGTTGTTCTGAGACTGTGTTTACGACTTTGTGTTTCTCTAGCGGGGTCCCTGTATCATGTACAGTACCTCTTACGGCATGTTTATTGCACCTTTGTCTGTTATGATTTACAGGGGAGAAGATGATTGCCTACAATACTATAGCACTCCATACAATTCTACCAATGGTATAAGAAAATAAATATTCAGATTTCAGTGTGAATATAGTGGGCAAAAGATAAAAATGTTGGTATGTAATGTGTCATACTTCGTAAAATATTTTTAGAACACATCTACTATTCTAAACAAAAGCTTGCGGTTTTAAATGCTGGTAGGGAAGCCTTTCGGCTGGATTCACACATAGCAATTTTAAAAGTTTTTGTGTGTTTATGCGCATTTTTATACAACGTTCTTCAGGCGTTTTTGAGCTTTGGCTTTTTTTATTTGCCAATAGAGAAAAATATAATCTGTTGCATCATCTGTTGCTAGGTTTTTCAGCTTTTTAGCTTTTCCATCAGCTTTTATTTCTTTTTTTTTTTTTTTATATTATTAATTTATCTTTTTTTGTTAGGGTAAGGGGTTAGAGTTAAAGTGGTGCTAAAGTCTTGTTTTTTCTTTTTTTTTTAATCACAAATATGTCATACTTACCTGCTCTGTGCAGTGGTTTTGCACAGAGAAGTCCAGATCTTCCTCTTCTCGGGTCCCTCGCTGGCTCTCCTGGCCCCTTCCTCCTGTCGGCTGCCCCTAGTACAAGCAGTTTGCTTTGGGGGCACCCGTGCAGGCGCTCTCCCAAGCCGCAGCTCTGTGTGTCCATTCACCCAGAGCATGAATTCGGCCCCTCCCCTTTTTTTCCTGATTGGCTCACTGTCTGTGATTGACAGCAGCAGGAGCCAGTGACTCCCAATGCTGCCTCAGCTAATCAGGAGTGAGAGTCTTTGGAGAGCTGAGGCTCTTGCGGACATCACTGGATCAGGATGGAGCTTAGGTGTTAGGGGGAGCTGGGGGGGCTGCTACACACAGAAGATTTTTTACCTTCATGCATAGAATGCATGAAGGTACAAAATCTTGAGCCTTTAGAACCACTTTAAGTTTAGGATTAGGGTTAGGGGTTAATATTTTTATTGTCTTCTTATTATTTATTTATTTGTTATGGTTAGGGTGTTAATAATTATAATACCAATAAATTAATAAATGTAACATAAATACCCAAATAAAAATAATCATAAACAAACAAAATAAAATGAATGAATAATATATAATAATAATAATTAACCCCTAACTTTGACCCCCTAACCCTTAAAAATATAAATACATTAATAATAATAATAATAATAATAATAAACACTTATTATTATTCCTGACTTAATTATTAGTATTTTTTTTTTTTTTTTTAGGGTTAAAGTGTTAACCCACAACAGTAAAATCAGTCTGTATATGCATTGATATTGATATACTCTCTGCAGAACCTAGGGGGTTGGTCCTCTGCATTGTGTAAAAAGGCTGTTTGATCCTGACTTCTGTGATCCTCCCCTTCTCCCAGTGTCCCCTTCTTATCACCTGATAAGACATATCGTGCGGAGACACTCTGCACATGCTCAGTTTGGTGGGTATTGCTAGAAAGGTGTTTTTTTCCCTTGGGAGAGTGCATGTGATCAGCACAGAGCCAAAGAGGGGTTCTGCATCCTCCTAGAGCAGAAATATAACTCCTACAAGCTTTAATAAGTGCTCTGCTAAAGACGGATAGAAGTCACAAGACTGCTCTAAGTGCTGATGAGAAAAGTTATTTAGCAGTTTATATTTGCTAAAATAATTGCACTTCCATGTTCTGTGTACTGAGAGACCAGATATAGTGAATGCAGGGTCCAGGGTTTAGTAACACTTTAAGGTTAGGGGTTAATTATTTATTATTGCATATTATTAATTTAATTATTTATTTGATTATTTTTCTTTATTTGTGTATTTTTTATTTATTTATTCATATATTATAACTATTTTTTAAAAACATTTTTTTAAATTTTTTAATTTCAGCAGAAATACACTCAAAACAGTTGAATCATGTTTTTTCCATTCATTTCTATGTAAATAAAAAGGCTCAAAATATGTGCAGATCTGCCCAATTTTGGGCGTCAAAAAAGAAGCTCCAGAAATTGTTTGAACTTCAGGCATTTGGCTTCCCATCTCCACTGAGAATAATTGATTTTTTTTTTTCCTCCTCAAGCGTTGTGGAGCTTCGAGCTACAAATTGCTCAAGTGTGAATAGGGCCTTATTGTATGCTGATATTTATTGGATACACAAAGTATAAGCTAGTGTTATCCCTGTGTTTTGAGACCTTGATTTGCGATTAGGCAGGCTTGCATATTTTGGGGTCTATATATAAAAATGTAAGCATGCAAATGTCATAAACGTTTGCACAGGTGCCATGAATTATCGCCATGTTGTCTGTGATATGATTATCTCCTATAATCATCATAGTGCTGATGATCATAGAAGGTTATCATACTGCAAAGAACACAGCAATCATTTGTGGATGCTGTGTGGCTGCTTAAGACATACGCACAGCAAACTTGTTATACATGACCCCTTTGTGTTTTTCACTATTGCTTTGTAAAATATATCAAACAGTATAAATTAAGTTTAGGCTTTTTTGGTGAAAAAGGGCCCACAAAATAGTCATTGTAAATATATGTGTCTCACATGTGTAGTGTTCCTAAACATATTTAATCATACATGTTTTTTAGTCCCATCGATATGTGTTCTGTTAATACAAGTCTAAACTAACATCAGTATTTCAAGGTTGCAAAGTGTAAAAAAGAATGTCTCTCAAGAAACATCTGATCTATTTTACTAAAGGGTTTCCAGTAGTTAAATTGCTGTATTTTTTTTTTTTATACCATCAATGAAAGAAGGCAATTTTTTATCTTTCAAAATCTAAATATTATATGTTTGACAAAGGTGGGCTGTCCCCCACCAAAATATTGGACACTCAGTTATGAAGTTAAAGTGTTACTAAACCCACAACCATAAAATCAGTCTGTATATGCAGTAAAGCATGCTTGTTATATACTCAACTGTGGTTAATCCTCTGCATCGTGTAGAAAGTCCATTTAATCCTGACTTCTCTGTTCTTCCCCTTCTTCCAGTGTCCCCCTCTTATCTCCTGATAAAACATATGGTGTGGAGACACTCTGTACAAGCTCAGTTTGGTGTGTATTACTAGAGAGGTATTTTTTTTTTATTGGGGGAGTGCATGTGATCAGCACAGAGCCAATCAGCATTGTCCAGACAGAGGTCAGGGGTTCTGCATCCTTCTAGAGAAAAACTCCTCCTACAAGCTTTGACCAGTGTTCTGCTGGACACTGATAGAAGTCACAAGATTGCTCAAAGTGCTGATGAGAAAAGGTATTTAGCAGTTTATATTGACTAAAATAATTGCAAGTTCATGTTCTGTGTACTGTGGGAGACGAGGTATAGTGAATGCAGGGTCCTGAGTTTAGTAACACTTTAATTTAGCATTTTGTGGCTCCTCTTCATTCCTTGCTTGCGCCTTTCTCTCTTGGATGCACATATTAAACTACTTGTAAAGTGCACCCAGACATCGTCTCACCCTTTCTGTGTGCAGGGATCACTGCTACAATATATATATATATATATATATATATATATATATATGCCCCATCATTTGATGGAAATGAATCAACCTACAGAGGAGGACTAAATGCAAAAACACCCTGAAAATCAAATTGTAAGAATGATGCAGAAGGCTACTCATTTTGCTGAAATTTCATTGCAGCAACTCAAAATGGTACTCAGTGGTTTGGATGGCCCCCACGTGCTTGTTTTCATGCCTGACAACATCGGAGCATGCTCCTATTGAGAGATGGATGGTGTCCTGGGGTATTTCCTCCCAGATCTGGATCAGGGCATCACTGAGCTCATGGACAGTCTGAATTGCAACCTGGCGGCGTCAAATGGACCGAAACATGATATTCCTGAGGTGTTCTAGTGGATTTAGGTCAGACAAGCATGGGGGCCATTCAATGGTATCAATTCCTTCATCCTCCAGGAACTGCCTGCATACTCTTGCCACGTGAGGCCGGGGCATTGTCATGCACCAGGAGGAACCCAAGACCTCCTGCACCAGCATAGGGTCTGACAATGGTCCAAGGATTTCATCCCGATACCTAATGGCAGTCAGGGTGCCATTGTCTAGCCTGTAGAGGTCTGTGCTTACCTTCATGGATATGCCTCCCCAGACCATCACTGACCCACCACCAAAACGGACATGCTGAATGATGTTACAGGCAGCATAATGTTTCCACGGCTTCTCCAGACCCTTTCACGTCTATCACATATGCTCAGGGTGAACCTGCTCTCATCTGTGAAAACCACAGGGTGCCAGTGGCGGACCTGCCAATTCTGGTGTTCAATGGTAAATGCCAATCAAGCTCTATGGTGCTGGGCAGTGAGCACAGGGCCCACTAGAGGATGTTGGGCCCTCAGGCCACCCTCATGAAGTCTGTTTCTGATTGTTTGAGACATTCACACTAGTGGCCTGCTGGAGGTATTTTTGTAGGGCTCTGGCAGTGCTCATCCTGTTTCTCCTTGCACAAAGGAGCAGATATCGGTCCTGCTGATGGTTAAGGACCTTCTACAGCCCTGTCCAGCTCTCCTAAAGTAAGTTTCTGTCTCCTGGAATCTCCTCCATGCACTTGAGACTGTGCTGGGAGACACAGCAAACCTTCTGGCAATGACATGTATTGATGTGCCATCCTGGAGGAGTTGGACTGCCTGTGCAACCTCTGTAGGGTCCAGGTATCGCCTCATGCTACCAGTACTGACACTTACCCTAGACCAGGGGTCTGCAACCTTTAAGACATAAAGAGCCACTTGGACCCGTTTCCGAGAGGGAAAAAAAGACTGGGAGCCGCAAAACCATTGCAACATTTAAAACAAATC